TTGAAAATCATTATGCAAAGGCTTCACCAACAATCTCGAACGCAAAAGACCCGGCGCTCTTAGACCCGGGTTTCTTGGACCTCTCGGACCCGGGTTTCTTGGATTCGCGCCAGAAGCCGCAGTCTTATGTTGGCTTTGACCATGGGTATCTTGACCATGAGCCTCATTCACCAAAAATGCAGCGGGCTTGCGACGATTGTGAGGAAACCTTCGCGAATCAAAGGAATTGGGATCGACACCTTCGCTCAGAGAAGCATATCAGAAACTCGCAACAAGATCAGGGCCCGAAATATAAATGCGCCTGCAATTTTTATCAAACTCGAAAAGACAACTATATTCGACATTTGAAGCGCTGCATTTTCCGGATAGACTTTTGTTACATATGCATTTGCGGTGAGCCGACACAGGAGAAGAGCTCTCACAAAGAGCACGTCGACCAGTGTAGCCGGCGACGAGCAACACAGCGATCTGACTACACCATATCATCTCGAGCAAAAACCGAGGAAGATAAGAACTTGGGCCCAGTGCAAAGATCGAGTGACGAAACGGCGACTGTCTCATGCACGGGCAATCAAGAGAACGGCCAAGTGACGTGCGACCAGTGTGAGGAAACCTTCTCGAATCAAAGGAATTGGGATCAACATCTTCTCTCAGAAAAGCATATCAGAAATGGTCCGTACTATGATGACGTCCCGAAATATAAATGCGCCTGCAATTTTTATCAAGCTCGAAGAGACAACTATCTGCGCCACCTTCAGCGCTGTTTATTCAGAATCGACTTCGTTTATGTTTGCGTTTGCGGAGAACCAACGCAGGATAAAGCAGCACATGAAAACCATATCAATCTCTGCGGGCGCAGAAGGCGTGGTAGGGGACAGATGTAAGGGACATGTGAAGAAAGGCCCTTAAGGAGAAAAGGTCAGGCATCGAACGAATTGCCTACCTACCTAGTTTCAGGGGAACAGCTGGCACGGGAGTTACTTGGGTCAACGGCACACTCATTTCATTTTGTGTTGAATTTATATACAAAACATCTGTCTCGGACGACGTAATATTTTTCAAATCTTGATCAAATGTGGCGCTGACAGCGTACGGCACATATCGCCCTTGTCATGTTCCTGAACTGACCAAGGTTTGGAAGCAAGTGGCAGCGATGGGAAGATCGGGTGTGTACCTGAACACCGAAATGTTTGCGTCGGATTCTGTTTGGTGGGCGAGGCTCATTCCCTCTTCACGGGACGACTTTTCAGGGCAGCCAGCCTTCACCAATCTGGTTGCTCCTGGCCCACAAACATCGATATATATTGCGTGTGGCCTTCCGTAGCTTTATGGTTCGGTGCTATTCATCACTGTTTTCACCCACTTCTTTGCGTGCCTCGTTGAGATTCATGAGGTCAGGTGTTTTACCCTAGTACCTATGAGCGATGAAATAAAGGCTACTCTTGCTACTTGATGGTTCAACTACATAATTATAATCTAATGAAGAAAGCGGCTGTTACCAAGATCGTGGCAGACTGGATTATTGGAGAGGAACTCGACATATCTTGGGATTAAAGTGATCTGATCTGCATAGAATAGGCCATAAGTTAGAAACGATCTGAAGGTTGCTAGTAGGTATGTCACTGAAAGGAGTAGAGCTGACGCCGCCAGTGTTTTTCTGATCAAAATCAGTGATAGCTCATGACGTGTCTTGCATACTGAAATAAGTGACTCACTATACATAGCTACTTGTGAAAGTGTCCAAACGACTTCTAGGCCACCCCATATGCCTTATTGGTTATGATAATGTCTGTTATTGCAACTACCGAACAACGGACAAAGAGCCGTCCTACAAATAACATAAACCAACGCTTCCTGACCACATATGACATTCTTTTCTTTCTCCAGCTTCACTTCTGCGCAGGCAACATTTAATCTCTGAGATAAGTCCTTACTCCTCATCCCCAATTCTGATTCTTCCCTCCGCACCCAGACCATGAGACCACCATCCACCGACATCAACATGGGTTTCCGCCAAGGCGCGGTGGCTGAAAAGGAGCCAGAGACCAAATACGGGCTTGGCCAAGATATCGAGAACAGCATAGATCAAAATCTCAGTGTCGACGGTAGTTCTGTGAGCGCCATCGGCAATACCCCAAACACTGTTGCCAGCAGTCAGTATCAGGTCCTCAAGCCACATTCTCAAATATGAAATAGACTCACATGGGATAAGCAGTCCACAAGACAAAAGTGAACAGAGCCAGAGAGCTAAACAACCTGGTGACACTGGCTCCCTTGGCAGAAACCGTCCGGGCACCATGCAGAGCCACATGCCAGATGACAAACAGGTACGACACACATCCAATGGCATACCAGCCCCACCTCTGAGTCGGAGTGTTGCCCTGGGAAGCAAACAGGCCGCTCAGAACCATGATCACATCAGCCACAACAGCCATCAGGGTATGGGCACCATCGATACCGGCCAACAACGACAAATCGAGGAGGAGCAGAGGAGTGGTAATGGCCCAATCGACATATCTCCCCCAGAAGACCTGTCGGCATTCAGTGTATCCAACGTCGGGCACGTGCTTATGGTGGTCCTTGGCTGGTGAGCAGCTGAAGCTTGTGGCGTGGCCGGAGGCCATAGCAAAGTAGCTGAGGGATGCCGTGATGGTGATGAGTGTGGTGATGACATGGTAGAGACGCTTGGAGATGGGAACGTTCCATGACATCACGGCGAAGAGCCCCGAGGAGAGGACCATGATGGCGAAGACAACCCATAATGTCCGGTGGCCTGTCTCGCCGATTTCTTGAAACTGTGGAGGGGTTGCTACAAGGTAGAAACGGTCAGTAAAAGGATAAAAAGCTGGATGGTGGTCGGAGTGGACCTACGGATCACAGTTGGAATGGGCGTGGTGGTTTGAGTCGGCTTGGCCGCCGCTGCTACGCCATAGAGCATCTCTGCGACTTGGTCGTGGTGGATCATGCTGACTGGCGGAAAGGTATCGTCAATATGTTCTTAAGTGTGGTGTTGTTATTGTTGTTGTCAAAGCACTACACTGCTACGAGTTAAGAGAAGAAGTAAACCAATTATTGTTCTAGACAACGGGTGATGGTCATAATAAAGCCCAGGAAGACACTCGCCGACGCGCAGCATTCGCCTCAAACCCCCAATGGTTTGGTCATCTGGTGCACCACGCAAGCTCCCGATGTAAGAGCGACGTCATCTACTTTTTCCTGGTTGAGGTTTCAGGCAACAGGTACCTGGAGTGCCCCGCAAGTTTGAGCCGACCTGGAAGTATCTCCATGCGGGGAAGATGGGGGAAGGCATTTGAAGATTCAACGGCCCGTGGCTGCCCACTTGTGCAAAACAACAAGGACGTAGGGCATTTGAAGCGATCCGATTTGATCATGGACCAGATGCAAGACTGATGTTCCTGCACGAAATATCCAATGGTAACGTGAACCGGGGTGTGCTTCACCGAAGAGCTCGGCTGCATGTTTGAAAGCTTGACTTTGCTGAAGATCCAGGTCACCAGCCGTGGGAAAGCGACGAAATCCGAGACCGTGCTGCTTGCGGGGTAATGTCGATCTCTAAGCACCTGACAGCTCTAAGTCCAGCCAAGCCGACCATATCAGGACCTCGAACAACTTCTCGTATAAATAAGTAGCTTCGATATTGTTCCTCAGTAAATGCTGAGGCTGTCACTCACTATTTGGCTACCAAGGCAGTGGACAGAGAATGCCAAGATCTGTGGTAGCTGTTTCGAGACGGATCTGACCAACACGTTCACCTTGATTGGATAGATGAGCGAGCAGCTGGTGACAGATCCGATCCACCAACCCCGCAGTGTTCCTCTGCAAACTGTCCGATCATCCTTTGATTGGTTGCTCTGTGGCGGTCTGGGCCCCTGAGTTCTCCACTACGTCATACCATCCACAGGTCTTACGCCTTTGAGCTCCATCAAAGCTTCGAAAGAAGCAGTTCACTCCGCCCCGCTGGCGGCCTGACTGGCCAACAATGAACTTGAAGGGGCAGGCGAGTCACCCATTTGCTACTGTTATCAACCCAGCTTAGACTTCTTCAACGTGCACTGTTTGTTACATCTCCCAAGTAACAACAGCAAGCCACCCAGTAACCAGATCTACGATCCCATCTCAATTAGAGATTCGCAAAGCCCGCTTTCGCTTTCCAACTTCCATCACCCAGATCATCAAGACCGAGCAAAACCGTCAAGATGTCTTCGACCACGATGAATTGTCCCGTTGTTGGTACCACCAACACCACCCTGCCTCCCTCGCACCCAGACATCGACCTCAACAAGCCCGGTCAGACGTGCCCAGTCGTCGGCGCCACAACTGACCATCACCACAACCTTCAGAAGCATCCTCAAGTCCCCCATCCCGGACTCTCTGCCGAGCACAACCACGACGATGCGAATGCCTGCCCCGTCTTGACGGGAAAACTCGTCAACGAGCCCAAGAGCCAGCAGATGGACGACCAGGTTTGCCCTGTCGTAGGAACTGCTACCACGGTACTTCCTCCCGACCACCCTTCAACTGAGGACAAGGCGGGCGATGCTATCTGCCCGGTGACAAAGGCGAGGGTTGATCACCACAAGGGCAAGCTCCATGGGCATCCCGATGTGAGCCATGCTAGCGCAGGGGCGGTTTGCCCTGTTGCTGGAGTCAAGGCTTCCTAGATCAGTTTTTTGAAGACTGGGGCGGAGAGGAACGCATGTGGGGAACTTCCCCAGGGACACAAACTGCCCAGGAACAAGCATCCAACAACAAGCCTGTTCTCCTAGTATTCCTTTCTGATCTGTAATACTGCGTGGATTTGGCTGTGGGGGGCCTGTATCGGATTGCAATTTGCTTTGTCTAGCTAGGTAGATGTATATCCCAAGACGTCTCAATGTGAACCAGATAAAGAGTTTGACAAGTCTTTGGCCATCCTCATATGGGTTAGGGTTTGTCGTGCAGTCCCTGCCAAGCCTGGTCAACGCTAAAAACGGCAAAAATGGACGTGCCGGGGTTCGAACCCGGGACCTTCACATGGAGCAATGTATCATTCAAACCCCTTCAACTGCCTTGGACAGCTTCAAGCGTGGTGAACTTTTTTGCAAATGAGACGTCGTACCACTAGACCACACGCCCTGTTTGCCTTGTTGAAATTATGTGTGGATTTGCATCTTATATTCTTGAGACTTCCACAACCAGTGCTCCCAAAATATGTCGGATGACCTCATCACCATCCTTGGCCAAGACATATTGATACACCTGATCACAAGCCAGCACCTTGAATCTTACCTCAGGCACAAAAGAACCACCACTTATTTTCCTCAAACACCCTGGCCTAGCACAGGCCAAGGATCACCTGCACGTCAATTCGCTCCCGCATGTCCCGCGCAGCCAGGAGGCGAGCCCGTCAGCATCAAGTATTCGCCATGGGAAATTACATCTCACCCCAAGCCTCGAAAAGCAGGCCAACAAGCCATCGATAAAACGGCCCGCTTCCCGTTTCAGCCCTTTATCGAAAGAATTCCGGGGTAAACAAGACAACTGCATGGCGAACGCGCCAGCATGCGCCGCTGGGGTTTCCCCAAAACGAAACGTTGGAACAAGGTGCCGTTGGCTGACTTCCTCAACGCTGATTCGACGCCTCCTCTCCCCCAGCACCCCAAGAGATGCAGCGCCGCAGAGCTCACGAGAGCAGCGACCCAAACGGGCGGGTGACCCTAATTTTAGCCCCCGAAACAAGGCCCCGGGCCTGTTTTGAAGAGCAATGCTATTGCAGCGCGCTGGAGTGTTCTGAAGATGGCCATAATGAATGACCGGTATCAGATCTTTTTGGTGAGTATCAATATTCGGCAGCGATGATCACCCGGCGTTCGGTAGCTAAGACATAAGAGCAAAGCCCAAGTCAGGTCGCCATTCGAAATGACCCTCGAGGTCTTGACAACTGGTTCAAACTGTACTGTTGCAGTCGCCCACGGCCTCCTTTTCTCATTGTCTGTTTTGTTCATTCTAAGCGCCCTTGCTTGAGAAGCTTGCCTTTTGGTGTGCGTTGTATCGCGTGTTATCGGAATCTCGTGGGGGGGGCTGTTGTTGATCACAGCACCTGTTGCGTCACCGTCAGCGAGTACCGGATCCTTTTGCATTACACAGCATTATCAACACCACACTACCTTCTTCTTTCCTGCCGGCGATCACCCAGCCAGCCGTGCCAGCAGTTACGTATCGCCACGTCGACAGAACATATCCTCCTTCACCAAACACCCTCACAATGTCTTCCTTCCGATCCCACCGTCTGTCTCTTCCAGATCGCACGCTCCGCAAGCCCCAGAAACTGAGGTCTTCTCCCAAGTTGGACGAAATGGAAGACATCGTCTACGACTCTCCATCATCCTACAGCAAGAACAACCACCTCGGCTCCCAGGCCTCAAGCACATCAACCTTGGTCCCATCCGAAGGCGGGTCGCTGCTCGATTACTTTGACCTCCCATCCCCGCCATCCACCCCTGTGAAAGCAACCCATCAATACGGATCGCTAAACAGCTTCCAAAGCCCGGCTCTGAGCCCAGAAATGCTGACCACCTCTCTGTCACCACCCTCGTCACCCAGCCCCAGACGTGACCGCCGCAGCCGGCCATCCACCGGCCGCCCAAGATCTCACTCCAGAAGCTCTTCGTCATCTTCTGTGTCCTCAAGTTCGTCGGCTACCATGATGGATGTGGATAGCTACGGGGGTGGAGGCGAGGCGGGAGTCACGCCGATGGTGAGGTCGTCGAGGAGGACGCCGTATTACCCTCCCAACTCGTCGCGGTCGGTGGACAGGGCGAGGGTGTACATGAACAGGGGGCCGCATTATGTGCCAAACTGGACGCCGATGAGCAGCTTGCCGAGGCATGTGCAGCTGCAGATTGAGGAGAGGATGGTCAAGTTTACTGCTTGATTTACTCTCCTTTCTTTTGGTTTTCGTTTTCTTTTGTACGGAATACGGTTAGGGAGTTGGCTAGGTGTGTATTGAATTTAGGAATAGGCAGCATGCATGGTATGGTCTAGATGCATTGGAGATGGGCCCAAGGGCACTGGGTGGAAAAGGGGCGTTTGGTATTTCGGATACTGGGCACATGAACGGTACTGTATGTCGAAATTTCTGCTTCGTTGTTCCATTTGGAGACTTTTTGTTGAATCAAATTATTTTACGCCATCATAAATCTTGCCCGCGGATAACAGGCTGTCTTCTTCGTGTTCCTCCTGGCTTTAGGAAACCGTGGTGTATCGGCGGTTATGCTACATATGCACATGTAGCTCGTTTGGAAGTGATCATGAGGCAAGAATCACATGGTCACTGGCTGGATAGGTATTCACTGCATCTCGGATCTTTTGCACATCTTCGCAAAACCAAAGTTGCGATCTGGGAAGTATCGTTACACCACAAACTCCGTGTGATGTTCCACCGCGTGGTGTTGTTGCCCGTGATACCAGCCCCATTTGTAGGGTATCTAAGGTAGGTAACAAATCCCAGATCTTCCCTTTATCTGTTTAAGGGAAGTTTTCTCCGTTGGGAATATTCACTGCGCCCTGCATCCAGGCTCACTGCCAAGTAATAAGCTACCAACGCCGCGGGTCCCCGGTCACCAAAACTGGCCCTTCGGTTAGCACATGTCAACAAGGAGTAACCAGACAAATCGGGGAATTTGTTGGCGCGAGGTTCAGCAAGTGAAACGTGAAGCAACTCTCAAACGGTCGGGTCCTTGGGGTACACGCAGCTAAGTTGAAGGCGATGACCCCAGGAACGCTGGGGTTGGCATCGTACCCGGAAGTAAGGTAAGGTTTTGGCTTTGATAAGATGGGTTCAATGCAAGTACGATTTTGGTCATGCCAATTGACAATTGTCCATGGAAACAAAAAATGTCATACAAATAAACAACTGCGTTTGTGATCCAGCCTCTTTTGTGTGAGATGAGGCTGGGAACTCAAGTGTCATAACAGCTCTTGCCATGACAGAAAGATACAGGTATCATGAGAATGCCAGGCGATTTGGTGTAAGAAGTGGCGCCTGCGAATTGAACGAGATATTCGACCGGACCTTCATGGTCACGGGCAGAGGCGACGGCATTCCCCTTGCATCCATCGTTGGCGCCGTGAACCCCCAAGGCGCCAATTGCTTCCCTCTCGTTGGTGGACGTCGAGTCTCGGTCTTGCCAATTTCTTCAGGAGGCCAGACAATCTTTTGAAATTTTGGCTTTCGGTGTCTTGGTGACAGTTTTCGGAGAACTTGGCGAAGCCACATGTTGTGCGATTTGACAGTGGAATAGTCGATGGGGGATTGGGAGAGGCAGAGGCTGGTTGGGGTTGGCGATGTTGCGTGATGGCGCAGTGTACGCCCTACAGCAGATCCACTAGCTTGCAACATGGGGTCTGAGTGGGTTATAACGTGCCTAAATATGACTTCTCAGTTGGCACACAATGGGTTGGTGTTTTGGTTGATGGGTAAGGCCAACAAAGGGACGTTCTTTTTCAGGGTGCATGGTCCACTGTTTCAGAGGCTTTTTTACTATATGTGGTGAGCAGTATTGTCCGGTGTCCAACTGTGGGCACAAGACCCCTTACCCGTACGGCGAGCACTTTGGTTCACCTACCTGTTGGGGTCCAGATCTTGCATGCATTCCCATTCTTAAACACCCCTGTTGGGCAGTCGGCAGCTGCCGTATAGCTCCGTGCCGCAAATTTGGTGGAGCGGGCCGGGGTTGGCATCGGCCCAGCAAGCCGGGTCAAGGCGTAAGTCACCGTTGCCCTTGACCAAACTCTGAAACAGGTAGACGAGTGGGCTTCAAACATGAAGCGGTCTGTTCAACTGACGGACAAATGCTGGTAATATGACCGACACAGCCCGGAGATAGTCCTCGTTCATCGTCCAAAGCCCTCTGTGAACCCCGAGCTGACTCCGCCCGGACCGGTCCACCGGGACCGAGACCAAAACAAACCACGGTACACGTCATTGAGAGAGCCCCGTGGTGGACCGTCTAGTCATAGTATGGCGCCTTGGTCCCGATCACGGTCGACCTGTCGTGAGCCCGTACATTCGACACAAATATAAGTGTCTGTACGTACCCACCATCCGAATAGCTGTCGATCACTCCTTTCAGAATCTGCTTCTGAGTTCATTCGGACCCTTAACGCCGTCGGTAGACCTGACGGATTCGCCTCGGATCATAGACATAATCCAGCCAAGACCACTTCAGATCTTCATCATCACTGGCCAAGCCAAGACAGTTGATCGATCAAGACTCCACTTTCAACAACACCAATCCAGCATTATTATGAACCGCTCACGATATGTACCGCAGCAAGCTGCGTATACCACCAGCCAGTTCCAACCATTTGGTCCAGGACCTGTACCAACCCCAGCCCAGATGCCCGGTATGATTCCCATGGGATACCCCCAACAACAAGTATTCGGTGGTAGCCCCAACCCAAACGCCATGGGTGCTTCCCCAATCCTCCAGCAGCAGCAAGCCATGTCTCCAAACGCAATGTGGGCAGCCAACTTCACCAATGGACCGATCATCGAGGATCTTTGCGCGCCACCACAAATGGGACTGCCTACTTCACCACCACCCATGAACGCCCTTCCACATCGAGGCATGCCAATGGGTGCCGCGATGCACCCATCATCTATGCCACAGGTTCAGAACGTGTTTGGTCTCCGCCAGCCAGGGACGCCACACCCCGGACATGGCTTCGCACCAATGATGCCAGGAATGCCAGCTCGGATGGTAGGGTCGTATCCTCCTGGCTATGCCGCACAGCCGCAAGGAATCGCATGGGCTGGCGCTCACCCCCATCATCATCAACTCCAGCTCCAGCACCAGCTCCAGCAGCAGGCGGCTGCCCATCAACAGGCACAGCAGCAGCAACAGCAGCAAAGACAGTTTCTGGACCCAACGATGATACTTGGGAGGCCAAGAATGGAGGGTGGTGGCTTTGCTTCGGGGGGCAATGGCGGGGAGCAGATGGGATCGCCGTCGATGGGGAGTTCGCCGGCGGCGGCACAGCCTTTGACGCCGGTGGAGAGTACGTTGCAGGGGTTCATGTCGGCTGATTCGATCTGAAGGGTCGTTGCGTGTTATTGATTTGGTCGCTTGGGA